TTTCTTGTTCTAGTGCTCGGATTAGTGCACATTTCGCTCAGACTTTTCAATCTCTGGTATTACCTCATCTCAAGGGGGCTATGAGTTGCTTTGGGCGGGAATCCCAAGAGCAATGACTGCCAGACGCACCTAGCGGACCTGGCAAATTGAAAATTGTAGTTTGAATCTCCGGAAATCTGGCTGGTTGTGTAGGATCAACAATCACCTTGCAATATCTCCGTCCATACAAATATTGTGCATACAAGCAAGAGTGTTTCTACCATGTCTCCAAAGCTGGAAATCTAGATAGCATCGCGCAAGGTATTATGTCTAGGTTGCATGCGCTTCAGGCTCAACATTGTCCTGGATCGCATCTACAATGCAAAGATCTGTGACTTTGGTCTGACACAGCCAGGGCCCATCATCACCATGATGCCATCCATGCATCAGCACGGGAGTGAAGTTTCGTGAGCCAGGTCCATGGAGAAGACGCACATTACCCTCAAAGAGGGCGGCAATGGAGGATCTCCCCGGTACATGGCGCTAGGAGCCAAGCGTGTGAAAATTCTTCTCGCGGCACGAGGCGCTGCTTCCTGAGGCCAGAGTGTTATGACTGCAAAGGCAAGATTACTGAGAAGGCGAAACAGCTTCTGCTGCTGCTGCACCAGTGAAGTCTCTGTGAAGTGGACTAAGCACTGACATCAGGTGGACGTGTGGGCATTGGGCCACGGCCTCAAACAGCATGGATGATCTGCTTTGCTGACAAACTCGCTGAACAGCATCAGCTGTCACGGCAGGCTGCATTTTGGTGGAGGTGTTTGGTGGCCCGCTACCGTATGATGATTGCCAAAACATTCAGCAGATAGTTGCGAAGGCACCACAGTTTCTTCTGAGACTTCACAAGTCCGATGTCTTCGCAGCACACTTGAAAGTCAACATTGCTGCAGGGTGAGTTTTTCAGACGAGTCTGCAAACCACAGCATCCCCAGCTTTGGTCCGGTCTGTTGGCAGTATTCTCTGACGGAGGTGGCACGAATTCTTATTTTTTGTTCATAATTCGTCTGCAACCTTCTTTGTGGAGTGAGTGATGACGGCGTCCAAGAAACCTGTTTTCGAAGCTCACGAGCACATGGCATGCTGAAAGTAAGCTGCGCAGTCTGGAGCGCAGAGCGACTAACAGGACGCCTCAATATCTGGTTTACACTAATGACACCCAGCCACCAGGAATATGGAAGCCTTACCAACCCAGAGACACTCTATGCCACAGAGAGCTCTGTCAATCTCTGGGGAGCCTTTTTCTATAATCAGAGTGTCGCAATTTAACTGCGGTAGACCACCCCGGGACAGCTTGTGCAGAACCCAGCGATTGCCCGAACCCCCCTGGCCCCCCTAGAAACTGAAACAACAAGCCGATCCTAGTGGAGGGATAACTTGCTCTCCTAGTCTCCGGACCTGGATCNNTGGATCTAAACGCTCCAGGCCTCCGTCCTCGGCGAATTAATTGAAGCACATCCAGCAGTTGCAGCTCGCGTGCGGTTGCCCTGAGCGCATGATAAGAACCTTGTAGAAATCCGAGCGTCTCCAACTCAAACTGAAATCTGTGTGCTCCTGTTTTGGTCGTTCGTGAAATCAAGCCCCTTTAGGTAGTGGTTAATTACTGCATTGCTAAAGCATGCAGGTGCTGATTGACAAGCAGCTGCCCTACATCCCAAATCATCTTCCCGCTGGAGTGCGTCCGATCGACGACCTGGCTTGTTACGGTCAGAATCTGGCATTGCATCTGCCTGCAAGCCATCGGCAGGTTGAGGATTGCTTCCAGTTTGACTTCAAGCAGAGAGCATCAGCACGAGACGCAACGGCCTCTGACACGCTGTTACCCTGGCTTGCATGCTGACCCGCCAGTGCTTCAGGTGTACTCGCGGATAAAACTGCTTGGCTTGCCGGCAGGACCCCTGCTCCTGATGACAGGGAATGCGGCATTCTTGCATGTGCTTCAGCAAACGAATCGCAATGTTCAGGATAGATGCAATGGACCTCAAAGCTGTTGGTTGGAGGCCTTGAAGCTGAGCATACGTCAGAACTACAGATAGTCAGAGAGCAGTTTTGCCAGGTCAATGTCAACGACTGTGCAAATTTGTGCATACCCCTTCACTCTTAGAGTGCTCATGCTCTGCCAAGCAAAGGGCAAATCCTTTGAGCCAGGCAGCTTTAATGCAGTGTGAGCATGAATGTTGTGTCTGCCACGTGCAACGGCGCGGTTGCATGCAGCAGGCTTGTTAATCCACCACCCGCACCATCGAAACGATGCAACGTGTGGGCTCTCGCGCGAAAACCGCGCACCTACAGTGCCACTGCCACTTGGGCGGACCGAGGTCTGAGCTCCCTCAGCTGGTGCAGGCACAAACAGAGATCAGCACAGCCAGCAATCCTGCCCTCTTGGCATATCTGATCATGTGTCATTTGGCGCAGGGCTCCAGTTGTAGCTTTCTAACTTGTCTAGTGAGTTCTTCAGCACTAAGTTTGGTGCCAGGGAAGATATCTTCGTTACTTCCCCGATAGGTTGAATTTCTTGTATATGGATACACCACCACGGCCTGGCTGCCTGCACTGCTCATGACAGACGATGCCGAGGCCGAATGCCATTTCTGTGGATGCGCTGACATTGGCTGGCATACAACCAAGCGTCTCCCTTTTTGTGAGGCAATTGGCTCACCAAGCACAATCTTGGACGAGCTGTTGGCTCAGGACTTTGTCACCCAAAATTGCGGGAAGGAAGCAGCCTTTTTAGTACGCACACGCAATTTGATTTTTGGCAGCCATTCTGCAACTACTTGGACAATCCTATGAATGATTTGGGGTTGCTGTGCTTGAACATCTTGAGCAACCGCCAAGAGTCAGCGCTGGCTGAATCTGGCTGTCCTGCTTCTTTACCGCCTCTCCGAAAAGACGATCTGTCCAGGCGTTGTTCAGCTGGCAGTCTCATCCTTTTGCAGCCCTCAACCACGAAAAAACGAACGTCATGCAGAAGGGCATCCAGCTGAGCAAGGGAGCAGATATGACCCAGGCATACCAAGATAAGATACTCAGCTGGTTGTGCGCAGGAGGAATACAACTTTGTCAAGGCTGGCGCCCTGCGAGCCAGTGCCTTGGGGTTCAAGGCATTGTGAGCTTTAGCTTTCAAGCCTTGCTGCCAAGGCCACAGACTTGTGGCCAGACGAGATAGAGGAAGCTGACGCCAAGCTAGCTCGTTTTTTCGGTGACAGCTTCTGAAGATCGAAATGGCTGAAGTTTCATGCCACGGTGGCAGGGCACACTGAGCCCCATCTCGCAGCAGATTGCCGATCTGTGTGGTGAGTTGGAATCCTGCAGCGGCCTCGAAGATATCGAGGGGGCAGGCGTTGGTTCATAGGCAGAAATTCGGGCCATTGAGTTGTGTGGCTTTTGACTCAGGTTTGGGGAGCCTGAATTCCTGGCAGCAACAACAGCAGCGTAGTCCACATCGATGCAAGGCCTTGGGCAATTCCGCCTTAAAAGATCAGCGGCGTAGGAATGATGACCATAGGAGCTCCTCCTCTTTGCACAGAAGGGGCAACATGCTGACCGAGTTCATGTAGTTGCAGCATGTCCCACTGGCTGGGTTAGTACAGCAAACGTATGGTGGATGGCTACAAAAGCACAATGAATCTGCCTTGCCCGAATCTACTCGGCTTGCATGTAAAGAGGAATCAGCAAGGCCAGCAGGTTCCAGCGATGCAGAGTTCATGTGAAGGATTTTGCCCCGATGGACGAAGAGTATGCCATCGCGTTCCAGGATATCTGCACTGTTCCAGAATCTCAGAACCCTGAACACGCTTTGGTACATGTCCTGCACGCTTCACATATTTGGTACTGAGCCCTTTCCCAGGGTTGCATGCATTCAGGGCATGTTCTGCTTTCAGGATTGCAACACAAAATCACACCTGTAAAGTTGGTAAAGGCTTTGGGCGCGGCGCAGTGCCAGAGGTTGATGTGGGGCTGGCTAAGAACAGCAGAAAAGTCTCCAAAGCTATTGGTGTTCCAAGAATTGCGGGCAATCAGAAGAAGCCCAGTTTCAACCGCCTAGCGCGCCCTGGAGCCGTTTTCCGCTTTGTACAGCCATGCTTCAGCTTGCCCACCTAGACTTTGGCTTTAGTTCATCCGGTGACATAATCCAGAAGAGTTGCGTTTGCTTCGCGTGCTGTCCAGCAATCAAAGAGTCGTCGCTGAGACGGACTGGAGAGAGTGATCGTTGGACGCATCAATGCTCCTTGCCCCAAAAGTCCAGATGCAGATGCAGCATGATGGCGCGCGGCCACCCGTACAGCCTACCTCAGGACGAGCACAGTTCTCCGAATTGGATCCTACAGGATGCTGACGAGGCACTGCTTTAGGAAGTCTTCGTCTCCATTGCGCATGAACAATTGTAAGGAAGACGCCGGCGAGCTCCATGACCCGACCACTGCCCAAGGTCGTGCTCAAGGCAGTCAATGCAAAGGCTGTAGAAAAAGGCCAAGGATCAACTCATGTGATCAGGAAGCTCCGGAGGCCTGTTGCGGCCTTCTTCTCGTCCAAGGCCCCCATCAGCCAAAGCTGCTGATGGCTCATGTAGCGCTGCAAGTGTATGTCTGCTTCCGCTCTGACGCTCCAATTAAGAAGCTGCATAAAGCAGTCATTCTGAGCGTGGGGCAGCTCAATCAAGGCCATCCCATCCCGCAGTAGATGATCTTAAATCGTAGCTTTTCTGCCTTCTTTCACTGCCAGAAAATCTCTTGCAAACTGTCAACGCCTGTGTCTGGAATGCCAGGAGTGTGGGGGAACTGGAGATGGACGCCAGATACGAAAGAATGGACTTGCCAACTTTGATGAGACCTCGTGCCCAGGCGCTGTGGATCATGTAAGAGCCCCGATGCAAAACTGTTCGTGGCAGGTCAACCTCCGCAAGATACCCGAGAGCAAAATGCTGTGCTGCTCGGCGGACAGGGAAGACATGACTCAACCGCTTACGACTACCGACGACAGTCCTGCAAGGCCAAAGTGTGCAAGAGGCCAGCCACCTTCGCAGTCAGTTGCCTCCTTGTTTTGGCCGGCAATCTTATGAAAGTCCTGTCAAACCTGGAGGTGCCTGCAGAGCTTGAGGCCTTGCCGAAGCAGTAGTCAGTAGTGGCTGCCAATAGTTGCTGGTTGCACCTGCTGTAATTGCATTTTTGCATGTTCCTGTCTTGCTGTGCTTTCGGCGATGGCCACCTTAGCATGTATGGACAGTAGCTGGGGATTAGAAATCCTTTGAGTCAGGGATTGAATCGAGGGATTGGTTTTTGAAAGCTTGGTGGCTGCGATTTGAAGCCGCCTGAGCACGGAGTGATACTTTGAGGCTGCAAGGGTTTTTCGTCTTCGAGGTTGTCCGCCCATTAATAAACTGGAACTATCTTCAACTCAAGGTTTCAGCTAAAAGTATGACCTTCCTTCCACTTCCATTGCCGTTGCCAAGTAGCAGGCTGCAGGCTGCATTGCAGAACAACGTAAGAACTCGCATTGAACAGCCCGTGTTCAAGCGCCGATGATGCAAGAGCCCACAAGTTCAGTGCAGGCGCCGGAAGTGTCAAGCATGGCCAGTTAAAGACCAACACATTTTAGCGCCGGTGCTACCGGTAGATTGTGTGAGCCTTGAGTCATCGGCTTGAGGGCCTGGGATTTGGGATCGCTATGCACGAAGGGATTTGGGCTGATCGTTTGCCTGAGCCAACTGGCTCCTCCGGAGCTTGAGCTGTTTCAGTTCATCCAATGCGAGAATCAGCCTCCTGCTTGTAGCAACAACGTCATGGGACAACTTGCCCGCACTTCATTATGCGGTCAGGGGGCAGAGCACACCATCCTGCAGACCAGAAGTGGCAGCCGGTGATGATCTAAATCTACCCGCGAAACCTGTTCTACGTCTCCTCGAATCAAGTCCTCCTGCAGCTTGCATCGTAGCTTGCCGCGCGCTCGCCAGAAGAAGTGCTGAGAGAACCACGCCAGAGCGAACGTTCTTGCAGTAGGCTTAAGGGAAACCCCAAATTAAGTAACATACTGCTCTCGCCCATCAGCCTCGTTGAAGTTACATGCTTTGCCCAACATGACTCTTTCCATGCCATATCCAAGCAGCATCTGCTTCGCAATCTGAAGCTTCAGGGAGGATGGGCTTGCAACTGGGACCTGGATCGAAGAAGAAAAAACATCATAAGGTGAAGCCTGTGATCACATGCGTTCGTGGGCCTTGAACTTGCAAATGAGGCCAGGATTTCTGAAGAACCCGGCTTGCTCCGCCTGTTGAATTGTGCCCATGGGAGATGGTCAAAATACCTTTCAAGGAAGATCATATAAACAGACCTT